AATGTCTGCTCCTTGGCTAGCATTTGCGTTTACCGATTCTCTGATTTCTCTCTACCGAAGAATCAAAGAAACAAGCAAGCTGAGTCTAACATATTTGTTTCGTAATAGTTGGAACTGGAAGAGGAAGCTCCAGTACAATTCAGATCTCTGCTCAAACCCTCAATCTCTCATGCATACATAACTGCTTATTGTGTGAATATTAGACGTTACTTGTGCATCATCTTCACCCTTTCCTAATTCAATATCTGTAAAAGTAGGCAAAGCTTCCTGTTATATGTGCTGTCTAGAAAATACTTGGCCAGTTCTTCCATAAGAAAGCTGAAGTTGGATATTAGGTGCTTTAACAAAGCTACTCCCTCCGTTCACTTTTATAAGTCATTTCAGACAACTCAAAATAAACTACTTTGCACATTGTCTGAAATGTCTTCAAGGCCTTATAAAAGTGAACAGAGGGAGAAATTCTTTTAAGCAATTACATTACCATTGTTAGATATATTATTCAGAGCTCACTAAAGTAGAAAGGTTCTGATGCTTTGACGGTACAGTTTCCTGAGCATGCTTCAACATCATTTGTTTTTGCATATCGTTAATCATGGGCTTTTCATGATTTTTTTTCTGTTTTTAAAGACTGTCAAAGTACATGCTGCAAGATACTGTTGAGTTAATTAATTTCCTCGAGTCAGACGAAAATATGGAAACTGTCAAGGAGATGTCGAATGATGAATATATTCAGATACTAAGAGAGGTTCTAAAATGTGTTTTGGCAGGTTAGTCCTGATCGTGCTTATTTTTAAACCCGAAACGTTCTTTATCATTGGAGGGTTCTGTAATCCCATAATTGTGAAGTCAATTGCTTAATTTGATTGAGAGTACTTAAGTTAATGCACATGTTTATTTTTCTGGATCGTATCTTAACTGCTTGGACTCTTCATGTACACTAAATGTGAAACTCATTATGATTTGGAAGTGCCTGATAGCTTGTGACATAATTGATGTAGTTTATCAATCATGCAATTTGTTGTTCGCAACATGTACCAGATTTTGGTAATTTCCATTTCAATATTGTTTTTTGTTTTCATATATCCTAGATCATACTAAGATACTAAGAGATTCCTTACTGCATTAACATTGGCATCCATGGTTGCTTCTCTGTATATATGAAAAATGTAGATAAAATGTACATCCTCTAGCTCTCATGTGTTTTAGTCTCTCTTTTCTCTTTGTGATGTATCACCAATGGTGCGCGCCAGAGAGAGAGGGAGGGAGCGAGCGATGGAGAGGGAGAGGGAGAGGGGTCTAAATGATTGTATCCGTACCAGTTTCATGTTTCCATGCATGTCATTATACTCATAGAAAACAGTATCTTCATGTGGCAAGTATCTAATGCATATACATGAGTTATATTATTTATCGTATTCACATACTAATATATTCATGATTTTTTTGGCACTGTAGAGTGCTAACACGCTACATTGGAGAGAAAGCGTTGAGAGAATGCTTTGTTGGGATGATAGACATGAATAATCAATCCTCATTCCAAGGTTAGATTTGTGCTTCCTGCCCAGTTCTTTTTCACAAAGGACCAAGCCTCTTACTTTATCCATTTCTTAATTTTGTTCCTTCACAGAAAAACATTTTCTCATTTCAATCTTTCTCCATTTGGTATGAGTATGACACACGCTCTAGATTTTTTGACTATTCTTGGTTGATTAATTGTTGGTGTATTGCCTTCCACTTTGGATTATTATAAATCTTCTTGCTTAGGCTATGTGTACCATTCTGTCATGTGCCACCATTGATCTGAGCAAAATCAGTGTAGATGAACCGAGCTATTTTATTATAAGCTGTGTACAGAACTTCCTGGAAAGATAACCATGTAGTTATTGTTTTATGCCGTATATATTCAGATAGGTGAATTATCGCAAGTTGGTCCCGTATGTTAATAGGATTGCGCCAACCTAGAGCCTTTTCAGATCGTGCCAACTCTGTTTGGGGTTTCCTTCTACCTAATCAAGGCTTAGCCCAGTTTGTCTTGTCCTTATCTCCTTTTCTGTCATAAATTCTTCATCTATTCAAGAAGCTCATTTTTGTTAGTTGGAACAACTGAAAAAATCATACTCCCCCCGTTACTGTATATAAAGTCTAATTGTTTTTTCAAAGGTCAAACGAGTGCATGTTTGACCAAGTTTTTAGAAAATATATCGATATCCACTATACCAAGTTTATATCATTCGATCCGTCATGAAAAGTAGTTTTATATTTTATCTACTAGGTTTTTCAGATGTTGATATTTTATTCTATAATCTTGGTCAAACATTCGAATGGTTGACTTGGAGGATATCAATACACCTTATTTTCTGGAATGGAGGGAGTATCATTCTTGGTGTGACGGACAAACAGAAAGAAAGGTCCGCAAAGAGTGCACTCACAAAAGCCATGTACTGTAGGCCATGAGTGATTACCTTGAAAGCTTTCTCATCGAGGCCATAGTTCCAAACTATACCATCCTTTAAGAAACATTCAATCAGAATTGGAGGAAATGCCATCCATTGGGATTCTGAAGTTCTGAACTTTGATCTCTCTATTTGAATCATTGTTATTATTTTGTCTGTAGGCCATGGGCAAAGAATCTGGAGAGTGCCTAATGTTCCTCAACTTTTCTTATGTTCCAATTCACTATTAGTGTTGATCATCTTCAAAGAACAGAAAACGTATGACGGGATTAAGATTGTAATTTGTGCTCATATTTTTTTCCAAAATTCACTGCTTGATTAATTTTGTTGTAGAAGCTTGAGAGACAAATATAGTAAATACATAATAACTTTATATTGATTTAAGAGTAATAGCAACACACCTGCTTTTAACTATATATAAATATCTCTATATTGTATTATATTGTCCGTCAGCAAGCGAGCGTTTGAATTGTTGTTGATGTGCATTGTACATGGGCCTGGCCACTTGGATTGTGAGACGAGATCATCGACTAGATGCTTGTTTATTTTTCTTAATTTAACTTTGTGGAAGGTTGCGAGCCGAATGCGTCATCGACGAGGAGGTGAGTTTGGATTGGGACGGCGAAGATGAGAAGATAGTTGGGGAGGAAGAAGGCATAAAATCAACAATATCGTCTGGTGTGCGTGAGGATCCTAATGGTACATGTTTGCCGTGATCGTTGCTAACCTAATAAGATATGCGGTGGCGCAAGGTGGTGGCGGCAATGGGGCGGTTGTGCTGCATGTCCAAGGCTGCACTAGGGAGGCGCGAGCGGTGCCTCCCGCAAGATTCCATTGGGGCGACGCATGGGCGGTAGCCACCCCCAAGACCCTGTTAGCACAATTTCATAATAATATATTTATACTGATTGTTGTGCAAAATAGAACGCTATTGTTTGTAGTTATATTAGTTTATTTCCTCTATATACAATGACACATCTTATTGTGTGTCCAAGAGGAAGGAAAAATATATATTTCTAGGTGTGTTACTTACCTTTAAAAGGAATAACTCTAATAAGAAGTCCTGTTTTAGATGCCGAGTTGATGAAATTTGTTACCTAAGATATATGCGGTAATTTGTAATGAACCCAAATATCTTGTTTTCCTTCAAATAAATTATCCCTGGAAATATTTGTTTTGAGTAAATATTGCTTTATCGTAGGCATGTTGCAACCACTAACAAGTCCAGTCACCATCACATGTTTACTGCGTGGATTCCATATTTGTCACAATATTGGCATAATCGACATGTGTGAGTCATCTATAATCTACGAGATGGCCAAATGGATAAGATTATTTAACATGTTTACTGCGTGGATTCCACAAGTGTCACAATATTGTTTGTACACCTGAAATTTAACATGTAATTCTTGCAACTATTTCAAGAGCCCGTGACAACGCACGGGCACTCTACTAGTCAAACTAATTTCTTTGGCAGCCTTCGGCATCACCACCTCTAGATCAATGACCGCAACCTCAAATTGAACCTTGCTCATGATATCACTTGTTAGAATAAGTCTGAGACTACCGTTGATCTACCAAGGATCAAGCTATCACACGAGGCATGACACCAAGATTTGCTAACGAGGTTCACCGATATGGATACATCCCCGGGGCCAGACTACGGGCGTTCCTCCTCATGACACCGCTACAATTCCGCACACTGGCCACCCAGGCGCCGGCACATGTCGCCGGTGCCCCCGCGTGCCTGTGCTATTATGTTGGCATAGGTTACATCCTATGTCTATCTCCGCTATATATGAGAGGCCTAGGATACAAGTGTCCTACTTGGACATGACTCCATACCCTATCTACACACAGTCCAAAACCAAGTCCAACTATAACCTACCTTGTACAATAATATTCGACACAATTCTAACAGGCCTGACAGCTCGTTCCGGCGAGTTCGGGATAGGGTGGCAGCCCTCCCACTCAGCTTGTCCTCTCCGAGGTGTTTGGGCGGGGTGGCAGCCCCCATTCTTGCTCCTGGTGCTCGGCGTTCTGGTCTTTGGTATGTTCTGCGGTAGTGTGCTTGTGGCGGGTTGCCTGATATGGCTTGCGGCTGGTCTAGCTCGCTAGCGCTTGTTGGCGACAAGGTTGGTGGCTCCTGCATGGTGGTGACGCCGTCATCCCACAGGAGGTGTGTGGGCCAGTGGCAGTGCGGGCCGGCGATGCTTTGTCGTCGGTGGCATGGGGATGTGCTGTCAAGTCTGCTCTGAGCGAAAGTTTGCCCGGCTCTCGCCGGCCAGCGGTGGTGGCGCCTACGGGCGTCGTTTTCCATCTTGAAGGCGCTGCCGTGGGGTTTCTTCGACACGCTTCATTTCCGGAGCTAGTTCTTCGGGAGAAAGCCTAGATCCATTTGGGTCGGGCAATGACGTCGCCCCCGCAGCATTTCCCCCTTTGGGGTGTTGCTTTGAAGACCGATGATCCTTCTGCGCGCTTCCCTTGGGCTGGACGTACACGGCATCACGGTTGGCAGGTCGCCAGCCGGTGATGCAAGGTGGGTGTGGCGTTGTGATCTGTGTGGCGACGACGTTGGAGGCGAGCAGAGTTGGTCGTGGCTTGCCCTTCTGATGTCGAAGGTTCGGTGTTCCAATGGGTGTGCCTATGTTGATTGCTGGCTGTGACAGAGAAGTCGAAACTGCGGGCGGCGGGGCCACTGCAGCAACGATGATTCCATGAGGGCGGTTTTCAGTGGACGGTGCTCTTTGGATCTTGCGTTGGACTAGGTCGATCCAAGGCTTGCAACTTTCTACTCTGAAACTCGTCAGCAAATCGGAGCTGTCATATCATCGACGCTTTGGTCGACTATTTGGCGTTTGTGGCGAGGTCATCCGTGAGTGCCCCATGTGGAGTTTGTAATCTTGGTTTTCACCGATTTTCCTCTGATTAACAGGCAACTCTCCTCTTCTTAATCAATGAAAATGGCAAATCTTTTGCCTTGTTTAAAAAAGCATCTCAATCGTTTTCTATGAATATATATTTGGGCTCGTTATTCAAGGGGTAAATGCATATGCCCAGTGACATTGTTCCTCAATTCCCGCTTGAGGCAAATGTACCCTATCCACGCAGAAGTTGTTCTTTCTTAAATATAGTGGAACCCGGCTGTTTTTGCCGTCATAGGGTGGGCGGGGGAGAGGGTACGTTTCATGATAGCAGCATAAACTGATCATTTTGAAGAACATTTTGTGTCTAAAACAAGCGACGACCGATGATACGTCTCCAGCGTACATATAATTTTTGATTTTTCCATGTTGTTATATTATAATTCTTGGATGTTTTACAATTATTTTATAGCAACTTTATATCATTTTTTAGGACTAACCTATTGACATAGTGCCCAGTGCCAGTTGCTGTTTTTGCTTGTTTTTTACTTCGCAGAATATCCCTATCAAACTGAGTCCAAACGCAGCGAAAGTTTTTGAAGATTTTTTCTGGAATAGAAGACAACTTGGGAGCCAAGGAAGCACTTGTGGGGAGGGCCATGGGGCCCACAAGACACCAGGGCACGCCAGAGGCCCCTGGCGCGCCCTGATGGGTTGTGGGGCCCACGGGGGTCTCCTGCATCGCCTCCTTGCTCTATAAATAACCGAATATTCCAAAAACCCTAGGGAAGTCGACGGAACACAATTCCAGCTGCCACAAGTACCAGAACCACGAGATCCAATCTAACACAATCATATAATACGGAATGTTATAATTCGGTTCATACAGGTATGTTGACCGGCCGCCACGAGGAGGAAGTGTCCGGGCTTCAAAGCGATGTTCTAAAAGAACTGTCAAAGCTGCACGAGCGTGCCCGGAAAGCCATGAAGAATATGGCCAAGGCCTTATGGCCATCCGATGCCCCTCCAGAAAGCATGTAGGGGTTGGCAGACCTGTTCAAGGGTGCTCGGTGTCGCTTCGAGCTATGGAAGACGTCCTCGTGCCGAGAAGGTGCACGAGAGGCATGGGCCATGGTGAAGACACGCTACACTGGACTCGATCCGAATCATATGGTCTAAGTTGGACCTCAAGGACCTGACGAGAAGGAAATTCCTGTAAGCTTGGTATACGACCAAGTAATGATAGCGGCGAAATATTCGGAACAAGATTGTAAGCTAGATAGCCTATTAAATGGCATCGAAAGAGAGTAGGCGTTCGATTCTATGTATTAATGTACTTTATGACCGAACTTATCTCCTGCCGAACTTATAAATTTTTTGTCATCCAGACCTTCAGCTTGTACCTCCGAACCAAGAAGTTGGAGTGTTTCCATATACTATGTTTAACTAAGAAACGTTTAGTATCTTTGGAAACCAGGCAATCCGGTCATATTGCTCGAACAAACAAAATATGTTCGGGGAGTTATGTTATATTACTATTTAACGTAAGAAACATCTTCCAAGGAAAATAGTTTCGTTAGGGGATCCTTTTCTTGGGTTCCTTTCCTTGGGATAGCATGCTAAATGATGCATGCCTAGGCTCGTATCCGAAGTACAGGCAGCCGATTCCATAGTTGTTCCAAAAATCAGTCTGTTGTATACGTGCCGACCAATTATTCCCTTAAGAACGCTAGCATTCGGCTTCACCCGTCTGAGGTATATGTCCGGATAACCCGACAGTACCAATCGCAGAGGTACTCCCTTTACACCCTAGCCAAACAATCGGGAACGTAGGGTATAAACACAGGAGCAAGGCAACCCACTTTGGCAAAAACTTAAGTCATAAACGTGCATAAAATTTGCAGAAGCAACAACCGCATAGAGAAACGAAGCTTATAAGCTTTCAATAAAATGCTTCGTTTAAAGAAGCCCCCATGTATGGTGGAGTGTATACATTTAAAGATGTGTACCCCGAATAATGTGGTTGATCCGAACATACATCTGAGAAGAAAATAAAAAAATCAAAGAGGGAGAGAAAGAAGGAAAAACTTAGTTAAAATGAAACCTAAGGAGGCCGAACTATGCGTAGAATCTTCGGAGCCGGGCGGCGTTCCATGGGTTTGGCTCAAGGCGATTATCCGCTGCATTACGAAGGCGATAAACTCCTCAAGTAAGGACTTCATCTGTGATGAAGGGCCCCTCCCATTTGGGTTTGAGCTTGTCCTTTTTCTTTTTCGGGAGGCGTAAAACAAGTTCTCCAACATTGTATGTCTTAGCCCACACTTATCTACTTTGGTAATGCCTAGCCTGTTGTTAATAAAATGCAGAACGGGCTTTAGCAACATCGCGATCCTCTTCGAGTCTGTCTTGGTCATCCTGCCGATATAGTTCGACTTCTCTCTCTTCGTACATGCGCACTCTAGGTGAGTCATGAATAATGTCACAGGGCAATATGGCCTCTGGGCCGTACACCATAAAGAAGGGTGTGTATCCGGTCATTCGATTGGGCATGATCCGGAGTCCCCAGAGTATGGAATCAAGTTTTTCAACCCAGTGCTTGTCTGATTATCGTAAAGAGTGCACTAGTCTGGGCTTAATGCCACTCATGATAAGAGCATTGGCCCTTTCGACTTGGCCGTTTGTTTGAGGGTGGTATATGGATACGTAGTCGAGTTTAATGCCCAACTTAGCGCACCAAGTTTTCACCTCATCAGCTGTGAAGTTAGAGCCATTATCAGTGATGATACTGTGCGCGACACCATAACGGTGGACTATGCCGGATATAAAGTCAATCACTGGCCCTGCCTCAGCTGTTTTTACCGGTTTGGCCTCTATCCACTTAGTGAATTTATCTACCATTACCAGCAAGTATTTTTTTGTGGCTTCCCCCTTTAAGGGTCCAACCATATCAAGCCCCCGGACCGCGAAGGACCAAGTAATGGGGATTGTTCTTAATGCAGTGGGAGGCATGCGGCTTTGATTGGCGAAAAAATGACAGCCCACGCAACGTGGGACAAGGGCTTGAGCGTCTATTCGGGCCGTAGGCCAGAAAAAACCTGTCCGGAATGCC